TGGTATGAAGTAAAATTTTATGATGTATTTAAATGTGTAGAAAGTCAGCTGTAAATTTAAGTTTCCTTTTCAAAGTGAAATACGCGAGTGTCAAACCTAATAGTAGTTAATGTAACGTTATTTTTATCGCGATTACATTTTATAGCCGAAGGCAGTGTCGCGTAGCCCGCGTAGTGCGTTGCTACGAATATCGTTACAAGTTACGACATTTATTTCATACGGGCAAATAATCGACATCACATGGAAAATATATGGAAGAATAAACAGGGAAAATAAATTTTGTGACTGCAATCAAATTATTACATTTAGTCAAATATTTATTGGAGCGTAATCACAATATTATTGAAACGGCAATAATATTGTATAGCAACAATAATATTCATTTACCACTTCACGTATTTATATTATTTATAACTTATTTGCGATATAAAATTATATAACTTATTTGTTTCTAAATATGACATTTATGCATATGCACTCAATAGTATTAATGTGATGTCATGGGGGTTGTAGACAATAATGTTTTAATTTCCTTAGAGTCTGCATGTCTGAGGGCCTATCACGAATATTTGCGATACGCGTTTTTGTGGTGTCATGGGCAAAATATGTCAAAATTGGTATGACATTTGTCGTGGTACTTTACGGCCGATAAAGGCGTTGCGCTAATCTAATACTTTGTCGATGACGCTACGAATGATTTCTCGCAAAATGGGCATAAAATAATTAGTGATAACATTGGATTTATTTTTTTAATGAAATGTTTCCCATTACTTGTGACTATTTGTAATAGTTTTATCAAAGGATTAATATAACACAAGTTTCAGTGACAGGATATGTTCCACTGCACGCTGTTTGCAGAACGCTGGCGGGGGCTAGCAGACGGGGCTTTGAGGAACAAAACGCTCGGTTAGTCTGTGGCAAAGAGAATTCGTCGCGGGTTACGGCCACTTAACTTTTTGCTTTGGATATACAAGTTACTCACTTCAGGGAATATTGCTTTAAACATACAAATGTTTACTTCTTTTGAAAGTTTAGTTTGTGTGAATAGTTTAGTTTGTGTGAAGTAAAAAAAGATAAAATGTTTACGTTTACATCAAAGTAGACAGAGGAAGCGAGAATTATCTTTATTTCTAAGATTTACGCAGCGTAATAGAGAAACGGCTCTCTTCCTAGAATAAACCTTTTTCAATAAAACAGATTTATTTTTACAGGTGTTAAACGTTGTACAAAATAAATTATTTGGTGTAGGTTTTGACATAATAATTTGTTGTTTTATGCCTTTCGAAACTTAAGGAAACTAGATGTTGCAAATACATCAAAGTTTTTAATTAGGGTCACAGCAAACTACTTTAGCCGCAGCACAAACTTGTGCGGCGTAATAAATAACATTCAACTGAACTCGTGCTTACCAACTTATAAAATTCATTTTATGACTATCTGCGAAATTTATTGGAGAACTTTATCAAACAAATTTCGAATACATAATATCGTTTTTACTCTTATTCTATGCAAAGTAAAATTTATATCGAACAACTCTTGCGAACCTTATTCATAGAGGTCAGGTTAAATAGAATTACTCGTATATACACATATTTTTTAGGTTAAAAAAAAAGACAAGTTGTTTTTAATGTAATGATTGTATCTATTACTATTTTCACATTTCAGAATATAAATTTTACATAAGTTGCTATTCATTTATGTTTCCTTGTGATTGTTTTTTTCTTCAAGTACCCTCGCCCCAGATACGAAAGCTTGAGATTAAAATAAATATTAAAAGTAAGACACTTTTATTTATTACCAAGTATTAATATCAAAGTATTTGCTGGAAGTTGTAATAAATGTGAATTTTTCCTTGCTGCCGATGTTTTATTGAATGCCGCGTGTCCGGCGCCCCCCGCACCCCCCTCCGCACCCACCGCGTCCTCCGCGACCTGCGACTAGACGTCTGTTCAATTGTTATTTATACCATGCCATTGATATTTATGGGCACTACTATTGCGCTGCGACGGCCGCATCAAAATAAAACTACAAGAATTTTATTTACTATATCATAAATGTGCAATGTTGCAGCACAGTTCTTTGTTCATTCGCGTACAAGATATTATTTGCCCTACCTTTTTTAATACAAAGGCAAAATTTTAAAAACAACAATTTGTCAATATTTTAAATGTTTTAATTTTAGAAGAGCAACCCGGGACAGGAGTACAATATAACGCGTGTGTAAACGTGCCGCAGGTAGCACAGTGTATACACAAGCACAAGTTGAGTGTAAGAGGGCGCTGGAGAGCTGTTGCTGGAATTCAATTATCTTCTCGTCTCGCCTCACAACTATCCACTTAATTAAACCACTTGAAGAAGCCTTATTTAATACAAATGTTCGCTAAACTTGAAAATTGTGCGTGCGTTCACTATTTAAATACAACTTGCTTTCCTTGAAGTATTTAAAGAAGGTGGAGATTGAACTTTTGTTAAAACAGTTAACGCATCATGTAGACACAGAGACTAAATTTAGTTTTCAAATGTTCAAATTTGTACTTAAACGTTATATATATAAGCATTCAGGAAAAGAATCATAAGTGTCAATTTACTTAGAATTGAATGTTTCATCTTATTTTATTTGAAAATGAAAATACATGAATAAATAGAATTCGTCTATATTAACAAAGTGTAGTTGTCGTGTGACAGAGTGGCTCTTGAAGCAATACGTTCTTTTTGTAGTGGGAACACGTCACGAATTTCCCACGCGACCAATAAATCTAAAAACGCGGTTAGTACAGACCGAACTCTGTACGATGGTTTTCGAGAATATATTTACGTAGAGAAAATAAAGTAAAGTAATAATAGAGCCATAAGTAATAATTACCGTCTCTATTTTACATTTCCACTTTGTAATAGCGAGGCAGTTAAAACGCGTTCATTCCTTGTTAAACGATAAGTTAGTTTGATTTACTTAGAAATTACAATAGGTATATATTGTTAAATCAAGTTATATTAAAAAAAAAGTGGCGATGTCAGTCTTTATGATTAATGTATTAATATTGTGAACTATAATTTTCGAGAGTGCATAACGGTTAATAAAATTTCCTTCTGTCTACAAAAAATAGATTGAAAAGATAAAACAAAGAAAATTGTAAAGCTTTGCTTCAATATAAGTTGAAAGTGGAAGAAGAAAGTCGCAATTAAATCTCTTACGCCTCAGCAATTAACATAATTCATTGCAGTGAGGCACAAAGTGCGACCTAATTTATTAAAAGATCTTATCCCCTTATGGACTTCCATTTCTGTTAATTGTAAGTGCAAGTCCATTAATGCTTCATAACTTCACTGGCTCACTGGCTTACTGGCTCACTGGATCAATGGAAGACATATGAAGCAGTCATGTATTTGTAGCTGCTAAGTAAGACTACATATGGTCGGTAATAGCAAGGAACATACGCAAAAGATTATTTAAGTATTCGAAAAGTAAAACTAACAAGTAAAACTTATTTCCACAGTATAATTTGATCTTTTATTTTGGACTTTTCGGTCATCGTATTAAAATTTGATAACGAATTGTCCATTACCCTAAATAATATTGATTGTTACAGATTATATTTCAATTAATTATCCAAATTCAGCATGTTTAGCAATTTGCTGATGAGCGTGTACATATGTATATGAGTAGATCGGAGATATCGAAGATTTCTGATAACGGACAGATATCACTAGATATCGTATCATATCACTTAGCAAATGGAATTGCAACGTATTTACAATGAATTCACATATTATACACATCCAATAAAAAGTATATTCCTATCATAATTTACGATTTGTAATTTGTGAATGTATTAATTCCTCATGGTCGATTTTTAATATTTAAATAAGACAAACATTGCAGACGATTAACAGGAAAAATCAGTATAAAGACATTGAATTGTTTCATTACAAGGTGTAGGGCGGCTTAATTTTGTGAAACAGTGTAATCGAGCGCAAAGTGTTCAATTAGCGCGATTACTTCACTCCTCTCGTTCTCTGCACGCTGAGCTGCGACCTGCGGGATCTGACAAGTCTATTGTATCATTGCGAGGCCATTTTAATATTTGTTAATTTGTATTATTTAGATTAACGTATATTAACTCATGTTAACTGTTTAATTAAAATAAGTTTTAAAAAGTGTTCAATACATTTAGAAATGTTTTTGACGTCACATGTAGAACAAGAGAGAATTATTTCTCAAATAATCTTTAAGATGAATAAGTCAGTTATAATTTAATCTAACTAATCCAATAGTAAATATTAAGAGTCTTTGAAATTGTTTGATTTTTTGTTAGAGATTCTTTAGTATTCCATGAATTATAGTATTTGTTTTAAACACAACATAAACAAGTTTCCATTGTGGTGAGGTGAGGTGAGATGTGGTGGAGCGGTGTGAGGTGTGGCGCCACCTCGCGGATGATGTTCATTTCAAACCGCACAGGAGAGGACCTCATTAGTATCTACAATAAGGTCCATGAGGGCGCGCACTCAGCCACGAGCGATGCTCTTTTCATGTTGTCGTTATGCTTTTTTACTTGCATTCAAACAATAATTTGGTGTCAGATATTTTTAGTGTCGGGGTGAATGTCGAATGCGCTCTCCGGTACTTGGACCGAGTTACTTGTTTCATTTTACACACAAGTGTGTGTCTAAATAAACCGAAAAAATACATTCGGTTTTTGAATTCACACAACAAACTGTTGAACAAGCTGTACAGACTTTGTAAACATTTGTCCTTTACACGTTGCCTCTTGTCAACTTATTAGACGTAAGGTAAAATGCTGAATTACAACTATTATTTTTATTATAATTATCATAAAAACCACACAACTACATGAATATGGTTTTTTTAATGTATAAAGTCAAGTTGACTTTTTTACATTAAAAAAATATACGTGAGTTATACATTAAACTTATCCTTTAAAAAGTGATAGAGCACGTGCTATTTATTAAATACGAAAAAAGCAAACTAAAAAGTATAGTTATATTTCCTTCTGAATTGTCTTGAACATAAAGCTAGTCTTAGACTTTATGAATTTTATTTTTCCTTCTGCTTTTCCTGTCGTAAATCTGAAATAAAAAAGTTAATAATAACTTACTTATCTTACATATTATTACAAACACTGTGACAGAGCTTAAAGTTTTGTTTAATTTATAACTTTGGTTTATTGTTATTTGTTATTGGTGTATTTTTAGAAGTAATTTAGAAGTATTTGTCTGCCAGACAATGTTCTGCTCATTGCTTACACCACATAGTCCTTTCAAGTGTTTTCCATGTAAACCAACCTGTGCCATAATATTTCCATTACTAAGATAAGGGCGCTGAGCAGTGTGGCCTCAGCGAGCAGAGCGAAGGCGGGCGCAGCCTGTCCAAGCGCTAGGGCGCGCGGCGTGCGCCCCGAGCAGGCAGGCGTGGGCCCACTAACACGGCCCTGCGCCGCACGCACGTGCCCGCGCTCTTGCAGACGCATTAAACTGCAACGACTCATTTTAGTATCAAAATATTTTATCTATAGCTTATCGGGATTCTTGTCACCATACCTCCAAACAAAAAACTCTTTATACGGGCTACGTTTCTGCGCCATGATATAGACCTGCGCGGGCTGCATCATCTGCAGGGAGCCCAGCTTGCACAGCTCCGTATCGTCGAATGTCTTCGATATCGTTTGGTAAGCTGTGTACGGCTCCGTGTGGTAAGCGTAGGCTATTATAAGAAATATAGATTTGTATGTATTATGAAACTCAAAGCATATTTATTAGATCAAGCGATTAATTTTAATTTAAATATCACCGAGGCATATACGACAGGGTAATTAAAGGAATCTATGTTCTTTAATTAATTTGTTATTAACTAAACATAACGTATTGTAGTCTCACCACCAGTTCGCACTAGTTCTATTCCGGTGTTGACGGGCTGCAGTAAAGGTACAGTTCGTTTCGCATTTATTACCTTTTTGTTTCTTAGTTCATCTTCTTTTGGGTTTTTATGACCGCTGTAGTAGAAGAAGCCAGGATTCTGTGTGAAATAAAAAATTGAAAACACATTTTTTGTTACAATATCATTACTGTATATATAATACGTACATCAAGCCATCCTCGTGTGTATCCGATGTCTTCAAATATAAGTTCTAAATCGCTGTTCATCAATGTGTCTAAGTCCTGCAGAGTGGGTGCGGCGGCGTTGAGTAGCCACGAGACCACACTGCTGGTGTAGTAGTTGTACAGAAGCATGCTTGTCAGACCCACTACAAGGAGTATGAGGCGCCGCCCTGCGGTGGTTAAAGTGAATATTTCATTAAACTAGAGGTGTGCTTGGTGTTTTGTTCTAAATATTTAAATGATTATCTAAATAAAATTCTGGACAACATCAAATACAAGTGACGAAGCCACATTTCAATACAAGTGGAAAAATATGTATTTAAAAATAGAAATTTGTTTTTACGTTTTCGACAGTTGGTATACGCTTTGGAAACAACTTTGATTATTTTTCTCCCTTAGTCCAAATATTTACTGAGCTTTTTTAGGAAAAATACCTTCCTAAATTATATTTAATAGAAATATAAATAGGTTGATTAAAAATACATTCACGAACTTTGATAAAACAGATTTAACAGCGTACCTTGACTAGAGAAACTTTCCTGTATTATTTGAACTCCGTCTTCATACTCTGTAAACATGAAAAATTAATTATAATACGTAACAAAATAACATTTTTAAATGGCATTTTTTTCCACATGCTATCACACCGATGTTAACAAGTTTGTCGGGAGAGCTTAATCAATATTGACGGTCCATTTTGAATTGCGTGCACACATATAACACGAGTATATTTACAGTTTGCAGAGGTGTTTATAGTTTCAAATAGAAATCTTAGAAATATTTCAATATACTTGAATTGGTTGAATTTTAGATGAAAATTGAAATATTATGCTGTTCACTAACCTTGTTGGCACGTGGTAGCGAAAACACTGAAGAAAGCATATACATGTGGCTCGGGCCTAGTCTCTAGGGTTGCGGCGGCGGCCAGTACCGCCACGCAAAGGGCACCAGCTGCGCATGAGCACCACCACACACCCGCAGACATCGGAGTCAGGAACCGGTTCTCGTAATCCCCCACACCCTTGTCCGGTATTAGGTAGTAGAATTTTGTTCTTAAAGTCATAAAACATTTCATGATAGTTATCATGTGACCTGACTGACTGCAGCCCTATGACCATCAGGGAAAGAATCATACATCACTTGTGAAAATCGGTTCTGTCGTTTAGGCCGCAGATGGTCACAATGAAGTAAATGATCTCCTAAGTTTGTTTAAATAAAGGTGTATATTGTAACGTAGCTAAAGTAAAATATTTTACACTTACTCAAGGGTAGTTGTAGCTGGGAAGAATACATCGACCCAATTAAGCCACTCGGGAAATATCCTCGCACACGTACAAGATATGTCTTGTTCGCCCCAGAACAAGGAATTAGTGACTGCCTGTTTTACATACATATAGGTACATGTCATAAAGATCAAGTGTTAATATAATTTAATGATATAATTAATTATGAGAAACGAAAATAAAGGGTCTAGAATATTTTACCAAAGTAGAATTTCTCTCGGGTGAGCCGATCCAGCGACCGACTATGGTGTAGTTGAATCTGTAACAACAATGGCACAACTTGCTTTGCCTATAGGTTCGCACAACGGAACACCAGTTCACCATGAAATATAAAACCTAATTGTCACTATAATAACTGCCAAACTGAGAGGCAATTAACAGTCATTTACATTTATAATACTAATACTAATACACTAAAGGGCTCAATTAGTTTCCATTTGACGACTCTGAGTGCGTTATTAGGTCACTAACCTGAAGTTATGTTGTTGCATGAGCACGTGTAGCAACTGCGCGACCACCTTGGTCATGGCGGACACGCCATGTGTGTAGCCCAGCTCCGTCAGCATCGTCGGTCTGAATACCTTCGGACGCTCCAAAATCTACAACACAACATGATTTAGTCGAGGGTATTAGAATGCAATAAGTAATGTATGTAAATAATGCTTACCACTGACACCGCTCTTAATGTTAGGTTGTGAAAATTCCAGCGATCTTTGTATTTGTAATTATTTGAATATGTATTGATTCCTACAAAGAAAATAACATATTATACTAAATTGCATTTGTAATTTTATCATCGTATATATTTGTAACTGATCGCAATATATGCTTCATGATTTAAGCACACTAATGCGCCCTGGATCAATTAAGATTAGACATCTATTCTCAAGAGTGTTGTTGATTTTAATCAATAAATAATTAAAATGAAAAAATATACCATATATTGGACTCCACGTTCCATAACGTGTCAACTCTAGACCATTGCCTTGTATTTTGCCGTAATTAAATATATCAATTAATTCATAATATTCCCCTGTAAAGTTAGCTTTTAATTAGAAACATAAATAAGTTATTACACAATTAATAAATAATAGAAAAAAGCTCATACTAACCTCGAAAATCTGCAAGAACAATATCAGTATTAACGCTTAAATTCAGATTAAGAAAGACGTTTTTAGCGTCAAATTCTTTTTCGTTGCTTTTGTTTTCAGCGTGATTTACAATTAACCAAATATGAAGGGCGTCAAATAAATTATTTCTTGAAGCCTATTATGAAATCTTAAATAAATGACTATTTAACTTTTGGTTCGAAATGATAAACAAGATTTATTAGTACCTTAGTAAGTATTGGTTTTGCTTCCATACAAGAAGCGTCCAGATAAAGTCCAAGAGGAATATTTGATTGTTTCAGTGCTGGCTCTAGAGTTTCATTTTCCTCATCAATCATAATCACCGAAGTCATTATACCTTGTTTAATAAAATTGCTGACAATGTTTTTAGTTTCTACAACATAATATGAATTAATTGTAATCTACAATATAATATCAGCTAAGCCGAAGAGCTTTGTTTATACACAATTTAAAATACTTAACCTACCAGCATATGTATTACAAGATAAATAACAAAGATGCCGCACGTCCCGCGATTGGAAGTAAGCCAGAGACAGATCAGCAATCAGCGACGGAGATGTCGTTACAACATTCAGCTTTACTAACAGATATAGGAGCAGCAGCATCTGAAACGTAAAATCAGGACAATATAACTATTTTAAACTATTAAACAAATTTAAATTTAATATCGTAATTTTTGTTATGCTCACCTCCATGTTCGTATTTGGAGTGGCAGACGTGTATAAGACAATAAATTCAAAAGTCAATTCTCATTTTGCGCATGATTTTGACAAGGTCGGTAGAGACTAGTGATGGACAAATGGCGATTAAACGACGGCCTGCAATTACATTGTTATCCTGTCAATCACAGCGCCGGCGCGGCTCCAGCCAGTTTAAAATATTGAATGTATAATGACATTCAACTGGACAGAGCACGACCATGGAGGACATCGCAAATGCTTAGAGACGAAATTATAATTTTTTGCTATGTTTTGCATAAGTTTATTTTGATTTTGCATCTTTTCATTGATTTCACACATTCTAACTTGTCAGCATTTAGTTGTACACATAATAAAATACAATTTAAGCTTCCGTACAATACCGCTCGCAATGTCTAAAGCAAACAATACGAGAGATATCAAAATAGAAACACTGATACGAGGAGACTAGACGAGTAAACACGAGCCTCCTGTAGTCTCGCATTGCAACTGAACCAATAAATAAACAAGATGTTCCGCATACAAGTTGCTATTGTTGTGTTGTATACAGCCTGTTTCAATATCTGCATCTTGTCACAACATCTTGCTGACATTATGAACATGATGTGCATTATTAGTTTTATTGGTTAACACGATTAAAAAGCGCGCATTAAGTGGAAGTAGTTGGCATAACTGTTATACGTATTAGGAGATAGTCAAGTAAAAACAGATCCGTGTACTGTACTACTTTATATAATCAAAAGTATAATAAATTGACAACAAAATTAATTAAAGAATGTTAGATAACATTTTTTAATTTCAATTTGAATTTAATTCGTCTCATTATTTTGATAATTTAAGAATAAATTTAAAATGTATACCATCAAAGATATTAATTTGAGAACATCACTCAATTTAGATTCATGAAATGTTTGGTAAAAAATTGTATCTTTTCATATTGCTCATCGTATATATTTCAATTTGTGAAATAAGCCGATGAGAATATCGGAGCGAAAAAAAATAGTAGCGTTCATTCGTCTGTCTCACGAGGGACGGTTACGATTTTATAAAATATTCTATTACCAAAAAAAGCAGCCAAACAATTATGTGGTATCTTCCTCAAATTGTTTTCCCAAAGCCGCGGGCGAACGAAAATTCGAATAAATTTTTAGTAAGATGTAGCCGTTCAGAGCGCGCGACCGCGCAACATTCTTATTTCAATTGTTCTTTACACTCGCACATAGACAAGCTTTTTGCCCTTTGTTAATGTCGTCAAAGAGACCTTTATAATTGTGACAACTTCATATAAACACGAGGTACAAAAGTTTATTATTCTTGCGTGCGTATTTTGTAACACTGATATGCTTACATTTTTTCAACACGAGGCTTACATGTATAGGACAATTTATTAGTCCCAATAGTGTACATTAAGTGCACAAACCGGGTCATTAAAATTGTCGTTAGGGCCGCTCCGGCTGCTTAGTGCAGTGCGCTGCAGTTTTAATTTGCATTTATATTGTAACCACCATGTCATAGTGCCAGCCATCAGACATACCACTACTTTTCTGGTCACTCTTAACCTCACATTAATTAAAAAATGTAAAATCAGAATTTTTTTTTTGTAGCTATTTCAATTATTTTTTTCCTTTCACTGAAAATAAAATCTAAAGTTGTAAACAACCCTCCTGTCAGCCAGAGAAGTGTAAAAATAACAGGAAATGAAAAAAGTTTGTTAATTTAAACCTAAGGGAGAATTAATATTGAGCTTGTACTTAGTATTGAATATTATATGTGTCGCTTTCAAGAAAAACTACTTACGCCTGATAATTGAAATAACATGAAACTTATTTTAACTTTAGTAAAAAAAACGGTTAATATTTTTTAACCCAAGTTTTCACTTTACCTAACCGTTACCTAAGCCTTCGTATGGTGAAAATCTTGTTGAAATCAGTTCCTGACTGAAAACCGAGGCTTTTAACCGTTTACACGTTAGATTCGACAGTTTAAACGTTACTGGAGTTTTTACGTTAATCTGAGACGGGCATAAAAAAGGAAAAAAAATCCAAATAAAGGTAACGGTGACATACACTCTTAAAATAATGCAACGTTGATACATGACTCGACAGAATAGAATGAAGAAGAAGTATCTTATGAATTAGATATTAATAAAAATGTTGGTCTCGGCGCCGCGCGTCACTTGTACCAAATGACGTCAAAGGGTCTAAAAGGAGCGATAGCATTGTATTAGATAAGGCGGGGGTCAATCCCGACAGCGAACTAATATTGTTTATCAATGAAATCATTTCACATTTTATAGAAACCTTGATTTTATAGCAAATAGCTTTGAAAAATCTTGTATCATAAATTATAATATGTAGATTATAGATCTCGACAACGAGGAATCTAAACAAATCAGTAAATATATCAAAATTCTTATACTGTCAAATACTTAAAACGATAAAAATTCACATTAAAAAGTAAAAAATAAATCGGTTTCTGAATTAAATGAGAGATTTTATCTAAAAAAAAACACCAGTATAACTGGTAGGTAGGTAGATCTTTGACTTTTGAGATCGTAAGTATCTGTCGTGCCGCAAGAGGTCCGACCTCATCTCTGATAGCAGTCAGATGGAGACCTCTACTGTAAATGTATGACGATGGATTAACGTTACAATTGAAACGTGCTTATAAGGACATCGCGGAGTTCTGCCTGTTTGAGTTCCAATTATCCGACAGCTCCGAGCAAATACTCCCGCCCGTTATAATGTAAACTTCTGTTTCATCAACTTTCATCGGCATTTCATGTACTTCACACAAATTACACAGTTGTGTTAACTAGAGAAAGGCAAACTTGATAAAATACTTTTAAGTTTAAGTCATAAATGTTTTGGGCAGTAATTATTTAATCTTGTTAATAGGAAAGGTTTGGAAAAAAACGATTGGCAGAATTTTCTAATAACCGTGTTACGTAAAAATGTCAAAAATTGATGCGTGACTTACTATTGCCACATTTGCAGCACTCTTTGTACTTAAAACGAGTTGATTACTTTAACAACACGGTGGAAAGAAAGTTAGCACGTCACTGCACTTTGTAGCTTTCAGTCAATTTGCCGGAGCTTTTAGCGAAGTTCAATTTCAGTCTCTAAAAAAGAGCTCTCAACGATCATCTCGAAATAGGTGCACTCAATTGTTAACTGAACCTAATTCATCACAAACTTTACAATTCCATTTGATATGTAATTATTTTCTTACATTTAATGTTCAACTCCTAACTCTTACTAAGCCGCCTAGCGTAACCGGAACAAATGAAAACCGTCTTCTATGCTAACTCTTGTGAAGCAGTATTGACAGTTGTCAAAATTGTTACTAGAACAATCACGCAAAATGTTTTCTCGGGCAGCAACGAGCCGTTCATGAATGATTTATAAATGCAAATGTGCGTTGTTGTCAACCCTCGGTGCTCGTTGTAGTTGTCCGCGATTGTTCACGTCCAGTTATCTCGTGCGCATTGGATCGCACCGGGGCGGAGGCGGAGGCAGGGGTCAGGCCGGGGCGGGAGGGGCGAGGAGGAATCATTTATTTATGTTGTCTGATGCCAAAGTTTTAAGTGATATTTACAGCTTCCGTGATTCCGGTGCATATTGATAGGTGAAATATTTTTTGTGTCATATTCATACGAGAGTTTCAATTAAAATACTGCTACATTTTGTACAAAAATATACCGAATTAAATAGAAATTGTTGCAGTAAAGTCGGTATTCGTTTAAGGTTAACGATTACAGTAGGGAAGCTGCAAAGCAAGCTATTAATGGTTTAGGGGTGCTCTGAGAATACATAACGAGTCGATATCCCTGCGAGCGGCGGTTGCCTGTCTCTCGGACTTATGGCCCGTCGTAGTAAGAACTCGCAAACTAATTGTGCCCTTTCCATTTGCTGTTCATTTTGAATCTTTGTCTTCAAGCAGCAGTTTATTTCAGGTGAATTAAGGTCACTTAAACGAGATCAGATTTTTTTTAAATCTTTAAGGCCCTTTCAATGAATGTAAGAATGTTATGTAAATGAATGAACCTAACAAAATATTATTTAAGAAAGTAATTATGAATAAAATAAATTTCAATAATTCCCTTAATTTAATAACCCAATACAATAAAATGGTGCAAATAATTATACCAATAAATATGAACAACCCGGCTAGATTACGCTAAGCTTAGTTAATTTAGATTCGTAATTTTGTGCCGAACGTTAGAGGTGGATTACTGTAGCTATCAACAGCCAGTGCGAAATATTATTTACTACTAGTATATTCTTGTACGATACAAGCGAACTCTGTCTAAAATAACTGGTCAAATAAATAAAATTCTTTGTATATAAAATATCGCACAATGTGTCCTTCAGCCGTCAGAGGAGAAGCCGATGTTGAATAATCATTTATATATAAATGCAAATGGCTATTGTTGTTAAACACCTGCTATTGTTCCGGAACATTGTCTCTCACGAAAACTATTAACATATAAAAAAGGTTAAATATATAAACGTAGATATACACTAGAACATGATTTATGCATTATTTTCTAATGATGCAAAAAATCATTTTATAATTTAAGTTAAAATTAATTGAAACAGGCGTTGTTGATTACATTAATTGTAATGGTTTTT